TTTAGATCTCCGATCTTGTTCACAAATTCACAGACTAGTGCTGTCTCGTAAGAATTTTGTAGGACGCGTTACGAATGACAAAATATTCTCTGTATCTACTGGAACCGAGCCGCATAGCTCGTATTCCACTATTTGCATTCACACCTGGGCTGTGTGTATATATATTGCCTTGGTTTGGCTCTGTAATCATTAGTGGTCGTGGGACTAGTTTGGGCCCTACCTAAAAGCCGGTTCCCACTAAACTTGTCAAGCGAAAGCGTCGAGCGTCACGCGGCAAGCGAAGAGAATCGCGCAAAGTTCACAAGAGTTGACTTTCGGTAAAGAATGTCTCGCTTCCAATGATTCGCTTGCCTGTTCCCACTGCTGGCCGCGCGCAAAAACTTGAAATGGCGGGTGGCAACAGAGAAGTGATTTTTTTATCGCATTGATAGACGGAGGAAAAGGGCTGTGAGACGAATCAGATAAAATCCTCAGGATTAACATTCCCATAACTCTATAATGAATCAAAAGAGTGAATATAAACACAGTTTTTTAGTTCATATTTATTCAAGGCCTAGAGCTAGGCCTCATAAGGGTAGATAGTAGGCCAGGCCTATCCTACCCTACGGTAGGTCTCAGGTGTAGCAGGGTATCAGAGGCCTAGGCTGGACAGGCCTAATACTGGTAGAAAGAGGAGATACCGGTAACTCAACTCGTCTCTGCAAATCCTTTTCCACGCATTGTCACATATTTGCTTTGCTCCCTTGTCACAGACCTAAACAAGGGTAGCCTACTGTTCCACAGATTTTGCATGAAACGGACTCGTCGGTCATCGTTCGCACATAACCTGTACATTGTTTTGACAATGTTCGTAATCGTGACTTTATTGTTGACCTTTGACATTAATTGAATCTAAGCCTTGCGATTGGTCCATCGGCCGCGAATTCGCTCGCGAATCCGAAAAAGTTGGTCTTGGATCAACTCTTGTGAATTCGCAGGCGAAGCCTCCCCGACCACCGCGCGCACCGCGTCGAAGTTCGAATATTGGGCGTTCGCGTGTTCGACTACAAATTCGTTTGCATGTTCACATTGGAAACGCCAGTCGCGTCTTCGATTTAGCCGCGCGCGCCACATTTCGACGCGAAATTCGCTTGATCGCGTTCAGTGGGAACCGGCCTTATCTACGGCTCTGGAATTGAACTAAAAAAGACGCCCTCAAAACACCGCGAGGAGCGGTGCTTTTCCCCAACTCCACCCCGCACCCCACTGCAGGACTTTCCAGGACCAATGGCCCGAAGCATCCTTTATCATACCGGGCCAGACCTCATTGTTACGCCACTGGTTATTCAGAAATCGTGGGAATACAAATAAGCCAAATGAAAAAAAATTGTGCGTTGGCCACGTCCGACCGACCCAAAATGTACGAACTTGAGGTTCGGCATTTTAATTTTTAAATAAGCCCATCTTGCTGGACGGTAGGAGCGATCTTTTCCTACCGACCTATCCACCAACCCATTTTTGGGGAATCTCCCAAAGCGTGACCAACACAAGTATTGTTTTTTGGTTGGCCTTACAGTACTATGTTTATTTGTTCAGAGAGATCCTGTTTCGAGTTAAGCTAAGTCCCAATTGCGGCATTTCATTTGTTCAAAATATGTGGTTTCTCGAATCTTAGTATCTGATGTTCGAGGTCTTCAGATAACGTGTCGCTATTGTTTCATATCCTTCAAAAACACAATGTTCAATTATTTGTTGTTAATATTTGTTGCATATTCAATTATCATATTTATGACAGCAAGTTACGGTATCTGTAAATAATTTAAAAGTATTTCCCTTGAGGTCTGTGACTTCATGTATTGTAATGAAGTTAGTCGATTTATAGCGTTTTATACCGAAGTTACAAAGCGCTCGAGGTCTGGACTATCTCGTACAATTATCCTCCTTCCCCCAGACTTCACTTTGCGTCTGAGCTACCCAGCACACCTACCATGAGATATTATAGTGAACAATAAGGCCTACCTCCATAGTGCTAGCCCCTGTCTGTCTACAACAGGCTGGATTGAAAGTTGGTAACTGTGAGCAATATAAATGTTTATTTTAATGTTTGAGGTTATTTTTTCGATTTTTGGTTGCCGCCGTATATTAATCCCTTGTGCCAAAATGAACATTACTATGTCTTTCGGCTTTTAACAATTACGAGATGCCCAACAATAAATGAATTCAGAAAAAGCGGACAGGTCCTGCAAGCGGGCAGTCCAGAGATTCTTTGGCAAGGGTTCGGATTTTCCGCATGCAAAAACACATTAGCCCTACCTTGGTTGGGGTTGATGTAAACTTTCATGATTGGCACTCTCTCTAAAATGCTTTTCCGATCCTCGACGGGGGATTTCTCTTCAGATCTGCGTCGCCACCAATGCCATAGCCAAGATTTTCAGACAGTGCAGGACAATATCAGGGTGGACCCATATGACACATTGAAAAATCTGGACCCATTTTCTTAAATTTTACCTATTTTAAGCTAAATATGAGGAATCTGGACCAATTTTTCAAAAAGTGGACCCATTTTATACATAAAATTACATAATTTGGACCCATTTAAAAAAATGTGGAGCCATTCTTTGTGGACCCATTAAAAAAATTGTGTGGGACTGTCCCAACCGTCCCAATAGCTGGCTACGGCACTGGTCTTATGACTCGCACTACTAAATTTTAATACCTTACCACGACATAATACAGTTGGCCTTATATCGAATTTCGACTGAGTTGAGACTGTTTTTAATAATAATAATAATAATAATTGTCAATTTATATAGCGCATAATGTAAAATACCTCTATGTGCTTTACAGCATGGTGTGGTAAAAAATATTAAAAGTTTCACCTAACAAAAATAATGAGTAACAATAAAGAATAATAACAATAAAAATAAATATATAAAGTTAATAAAATAATTTGAAAATACAGAATTTTATTTACTTTTTTAAAACTAATTGTTAAATATTTTTTTTCCCTTAGTCGTATTTCCTTACCTTTTACTCTTTTCTCCATTTCTTTTTTCCTCCTTTTCCTATATTTTCATTCATACTTACTTTTTGTTCATAATCAGTATAATGAGATGTGACGTACGCGTACCAGCTGGTACTGAGGAAGGAATGTTTCTTGGCCCCTCGGGGCCGAGGCCACATAGGAGCTCAGCCCACTAAGGTAAAATAAGAGTTGGACGACTACGCTATCTAAATAGGCCTACGAAAATGATTGTACCTTTTGGGGATATTTCTCCAGACACCATAGTTGTTTGCCAAGCAGCCTCAGAGTCAGACCTCACCAATGGGGCTTTCCCAGGCACAGGTTCACTTTCAGTGGCCCTTGGTGGCTTGCATAAGTAGTGAAAGCCAAACAATTATTTTATAGAATGGTGTTTAATGAGTAAATATAATGTACTACATCACACTTCTTTTTAAAACATTGTAATCCAATACTTCATTAGTGATTATAAAACATGCCTTTGAGACTAAACATATTGTTTTGCTAAAGTAATGCCGAACAGCAAATAAGTTATACTAATAATTAAGAGAAAGAATCTTTATTATCTTCTTATAATTATAAGAGTAAAAGTGAAAGAAACATTTCGATGAATATACTGTATATATATTTAAAAAAAATAAATTATGAAATAAATTATGCACATTATTATATTTATAAGCATAGGCAATAGGCAATAGGAGGAGACTTGATTCATTGAATTAGCCTAACACCTTGAAGAGCCTTAGTGTTGTCCCAATGAGGGATTCTACTTTATTTATATAGTAAATAAAGTGCTAAAAATAAAGATGACTGTTTTCAATAAAATGCATTTTCTTTGCAGAAGGATCTTAATATGTTAATATGCTAATTTCAAATGTAGCTCTGGATTCGAGAATTGCTAATTCTGCATTTCAGTATTACATCATTCAGTACACCTAGAGACAATAAGAATAGCCACTGATCAACTTTCTTTGTCTGCAAAAGAATATTAGGTACTAAATATTAGGTACTAGGTATTAGGTACTAGGTATTAGGTTCTCTGTTCTTCTTCGTAGACAATAAGAGCTGCATTTTTCTGAATATTGTCACCTTTAGCAACCAACACATTCTTGATTATTCCTTTCCTTGGTGCTTTGATGATATACTGTTAAAAACAAGCAATCAACATTTTCAAAAACAATAAAAAGTATATTTTATATATATTTTAAAGTTATACCATCATTGTCATCATCATCTTCATCATCATAAACACTGTTATCATCATTATCCTCATAAATAGGCCTAAAAAATGTGTTGCTGGAGTCATATTGACTCAAATCTTGGAAAATTTAGGGTCAAATTTTTGCCATTACCATTCAGAAGTGGATTGAGGGAGGTAATTTGTAAGTGGGGGAGGGCATGTGGCACCATAAACAAAATACAAAATGGCATACAAATACTAAATGCTACAATACTTTGTATCTGAAGATAAATCATACTACTATTGGATACTTATTTAATTTTATAAAATTATATTACATTTAGGCCTAAATGAAATTGGTCCTTCCTTAATAAAAAAAATTCTGGATCCACTCCTGTCATTTACCAATCATCGGGCACGTAGTGAGTGTTGGTTAAGCCAAGCACGTACTGCGTCGTTCAACAGGTGTAAAGCCAATGTATCAACCGCCCAGGGAGTTCACTTGCATACCAACCAAACAGGGGGGAGCCGCAGCCACTTCAAGGCATGAGACACTTGCGCTACCTATTTTACTGAAAATTCTTATGGACTTGAACTACCATTTAACAAAATAGCACTGTGCTCTAATAGGCAACAGGAAAAAGGCCACTCAATAGTGCCAGAGAGGGCGCAATATTGACTGGTTCCCGATGGCAAAAAGTGTTCCATCCAGTCGCGATCTCATGGCAGTACCAAAGGTAGGCTTAGCAAGGGGCTTAACAGCTTAGCACCCAGTCTAGCTTGAAATTCCTGGTAACATCATGCGGAAAATTGTGGCACTTTGGCACAGGATAGGCCTGGGAGTTTAACTACCAATTTCACCCTGGTTATTTCCCATACTTATGCTACAAAGTCCTCGCAAGTATAACCCATAAAAGCTGCAACTCCCCCATGTTTCCCACACTTGTGCTACAAAGTCCTCGCAAATATACCCCATAAATGCTAGCCGGGATCAACCTCCACTCCTTGTGACTGACGATCATGTACAATTCTCACTGCTTGGCAATATAAATCAAATCATCGGCTTAGTCAGCAAGCCAGCCGGCCGTCTTTTGTACAATTATTTAGGACGGCCACTTTTACCGTGACGGCTTGGATGGCTTGGCCTAATCAAGTCTGGTCTATCTTTAGCAAATACTTTATATCTTTCAAATCCATGTGGCCCCGAGTTGGCGTGGCGTGCACATCGGCTCAGGGCCACGCCCATTAGCTTTAATTTTGGACGGCCTATTTCGTTTTTCAGGCTAAACCCCTGATTCAAATTGAAATTTATGTAATTAAAATAATTGTTTTATAAAATTAATTTTTTCTTAATCTTAATGGGCATTTTGCAATAAAATATATTTTCTCAATGATGTGGGTGTTTTTCTAGCATTAAAGAAATTTCGCAACTTTACGAAAACGGTAACGAATACGTCATTATCATTATCATTATCGTCATTCTTGCCTAAACATTCTTGACAATTATTCTGTATGAGCTGAATATGATTCTTGATTCATGGAAAAGGCATGATTCGTCTACGTTGTGACAAATATGCTACTGTAGGGGAAAGGTTGTCTAAAAACTTGATGAAGTAACCGTATTTGTTATCGTTTTCGTAAGCTTCTGAAAACTTCCTACTGTTATCTAAATAACGTCATGTATTTTAATTCATTTTTCAGTACTGTTTACTTATTTTATCTAATCATTTATGCTGTTTTAAATTATGGCAATAAAGTTGAAATTGAACGCATTCATTTTTTTTGGCCTTATTAACACCATCATGTTCATTTCCTTTGTCTTCAATATCATCATCATGGTTTAGGATATGACGTATGGCCAAGTAGGGAGTTGGATATGTGGGCTATATATAACAAAACAATAAATAAATAATAGATTTAGCTTTGATAAATATTACAAACCTCCATTTTCATAGATTCCAAAGCTAGTAGAGGGTCACCTTTCTCGACAACGGCACCTGGTTGTATATACACATGAGTGATGTCACCTTGCATGGGTGCACGGTCACCCATTGACCCTGAAGATGCATCGTCAAGATACTCTGGAATCGGTAAACCAACTTCAATTCCTCCAGCCTAAAGAAATTATAATTGTCATCTTTAAAATCTGTACAATACCAAGAGCTAAAATTAGAATTATTTAAAATATAAAACACTTATATGTTTTTTGCAAACTTTGAATGAGAGGGCAGCATTCAATAAATGTAAGGTTCTATGTGAATAGCAGCTAATCTACATTAGTCTAAGTCAGCAATGGTTCTAATCAGCCTAGTTACAACTGTTTTCCTTCAATGGTTAAATTCAGCAAAAATCTAACCGGCAATTGACCAGGCTTTAGAAACATTCTTATGTTTGTAATCTAGATGAAGAATGTCCCTTCTAGTTTTTGATAGGTCTTGAACAGAAATCCCTTAATTTCTTTCGAGCTTGTAGAATTGATTGTCATGCATTTGGGAAGAAGATAAAATTAATAGAAAGGGGATCAAATTTAAATGAAGCAGAGAAAACAGGAGGCATATAGATTACCTTTAATGGGGAGGCAGGATTTCAAGGAATAAACTTTATTGGGATAAAATAAAGGATTTACAGGAATCAACATTAATGATGGGAAGCAGAACCTGATAAATAAAAAATCAACTTTACTGCGAAAAAGCGATTCACATGAGCCAACTTTAGAAAAAAATAAAATATATATGTATTACCTGTGCGAAGACGTGAATTGCATTATTATAGAGGGCGACCTTTACAGCCTTTTTCTGACTATTGATACTGTGTTCCATAATGCTGACACGCCCCTTTTTCTCCAGTCTGCCAAACACTTCAAATGATTGGTCATCAATCTAATTGGTAGATTCCAGGGTAAATTATTATCTACATGCAGACCACATGACATAGTGAAGGGAGAGGATCAACCAATTATTGCTTTATTCATTTTCCAGAGAGTTGAATCAGTGTATATTAAATTTTACGATTTTCTTTGGTATTAGCTACCATGTAGACATTACCAATTCTGTAATGTTATTATATTTGTTCTTTTAGTATTTGCACTTATAGTTTGAAAGGTGCTTTTTTTTTTTTTTACTTTGGTGGGTTTCCTGAGTGTTTCAAATTGTTTTAAATAAGATGAATGAATCAATATAAGACATCTGATATATTTTACCTTGTCATCATTCATTTATATTAGTACATTTACTTGAGAAAAATTACCTTTATTTGATAGTGTCCATTTTGTTTGTATGTTACATGAATTATTACTTGGTCTTCCCCGTCATTCAAATAAATTTGACGATGTAGATGCTCATTAATACGCACACCATTACCCAATCCAAATGGAGAAAATGGGTCTAAAATGAAAGGTAATTTAAAATTAAATAATTAATAAATAGAAAACAGGTAGCATTTTAAATACTAATACTACTAATAAATCAATGGAAAAAAATCTCTCATAAAATGCACTTATTAAACTGAAGAAAATAAACAGGTGACCTTCTGTGATAGTTCCAATAACATGCTAACTGAACTAAACCATCTTAATTAGTACTAGAAAATTATGTATATTTTCTACATATTAGTAGACTATCTATATGTAAAAAAGATTAAATAACCCTAAATTGTCATATTTTTTAAGGCTCCGCCCCTGGACCACTTTTGAAACATTTAAATTGACACCGACCATGCCCGCTTTGCTCTCGTCAGAGTCCTTGCCCCCACCACAAATTTGTACCTTCCCCTTCACTTGCCCCCTCCATGAATCATGTTTATACAAACCAAACCACTGCTAATAAGAACAAGTAAAAAGAAAGAGTGTTTCATCAACATTTTTTGTGAAACCACGTACCTTGTCAATTTGATTCATATTAAATATTTTATATATTACAATATTTATCATCTCTAAATATTTCATATTTTAATGTATCCACTATTAGACTGACCACTACACATGCACAAAATCCTACCACCACTTAGCCATGGTAACACCAATTATGTGCAGTTAAATGCAGATAACAATACAATCTGGCCATGGTAAAGTCACACATTGTCTTGGTCAAAATTATTCTAATGAGAACATGACTTAAGATGCAATGTTGAGAGGAAAACAATCTTGGCTGCAAGATTCCAAATTAGACAAATTTGCAGGTGCAGGAATTCTGAGAAATACATGCCTTCCAGGTCGTGCACACATACCTTTCAAACTGACCTAAGCTGGCAGTGTGTATGCGTGGAGCAATTGTGAGTATGTGTCCTTTGATCTTATCCGACAGTACTTTATACGACGACATATTCACAGTGTTAGTGCAGCTAGTTGGTACATCATGTTACCATTATATTTTAAGTGTGAAGATGAAGAATGTGAAGTAAGAGGAGAGCTACAAAGGCCACAAATAGCATGCTGTACATGTATTTTATAATAGGCAATACATTTAGGCAGGATATTCTGTCCACAAGAGCGAGAGCATGATACAGACCCCGAATATGTGAGACTTGGTAAGCCTGCAATAAAGCAGGCACAGACAAATCCCTAACTAGCATTCACTATTAAAATCCATTATTTTTCTTAAGCTTTAAGTATACCTGCTTGTATCGTTGAGAGTTTAATAGCCTCCTGTTGTTCATTGAGTAATAAGGCTAATGCAGCCTGGCATAATACTTCATTTGATGCTTTCTTCAAAGATGGAAACAGTGATTCTTTATGCTGGTTAATGAATTCAGTATGGACATCACCTGCCCGAAATCCTTCATGATTTGCAAGTGTTGATAAAAAATTTATATTTGTTTTCACACCTATAACCTGAATACGAAAACATTACAATTAATTTTAAAATCATGTTGATGGTTGTGATGGTGCTGCTAATTGATATTTGTTTTCACACCTATAACCTGTATACAAAAAAACAAACATTAAAATCAATTATTTTTACAATGATTAATCTTAAGATGTGCTGCCAATGTTACAGTAGGATGATGGTTGTTCTGCAACTGATGCTGATGTTGATAATAATGAGGATGAAAACTTACATGATACTCTTCTAAATGTCTTTGTAATTTATCCAGTGCACTCTGCCGGTCTTGGGACCAAACAACTAATTTCGCAATCATAGGATCATAAAATGTGCTGACCTCATCCCCTGGAAATCATGACAAACAATGTCTTAAAATGTAGTTTATCAAGTTAGTTAAGTTAATAAATTAGTCACTACATGTATTAGAAGTTTATTTAATAAGATGACAAATGAGCAGATAAAAAACCATGACCAAATTTCCATTAGGATTTTAGCTAAAAGGACAAGATGACAACTGAATAAAGATGGATAATGTGTCTTGCCCAAGGACAGAAGCAGTGTGAATATACTTAATAATTAGTTTCACTTAATTGTGGTCGACTTCTTGTTGAATGGACAATATTAAAGTATGCATTATTTTGCAGACTCTGCGTGCCATTACAGCTTCATGGTTCCAACGATGCAAACACCAATCGATACAAATATTGGGACAGACATTCCAAAATGACTGAAAATCTGAATTGAAGCATGATAAAGTAATTGATACTAAGGATTCATGTCAGAATATAAGGTAGGCCTATAGGCACTTACCTTCTCTAACACCTGTCTCAATCCTAGTCTCTTCATCAGCCACTGGCGTTGCAAGATGCCACAATGGACCAGCGCCTGGCAAGAAATTGTTTGTTGGGTCCTCAGCATAGATTCTGGCTTCAAACGCATGACCTTTCAACTTGATATCTTGTTGGCTCAAAGGAAGTTTGGCTCCAGCAGCAACCTGTTAAAGAAATACTATTTTATTATTTACTAGCTAAATTTTTTATCATTTATTCAACATCAGAAAACAAATTCTACATGTTTATGGTTTTACAAAATGACAATAAAATAATCTTTAAATGTGATTTCAACTGATTATACATAGCCTGCGTTCATGATGAGTATGAACTCAGCGAGTTGCCTGCTGCCCTACAACCAACCCTTGTTCATGCTTTGTAAATTCAGTGGGTAGTTAGAAGGTTACTCGCTAATGATGTTTTATGTCCAACACTGGTTGTGTGGGCCTGGATGCTGGCCTATCACCAAAAATCTCATCCATTTCTGCAAAATACGGCCAGTCTGTGGGCCTGTTCCCTGACTTGTTGTTTTCATCCTTAGCCTGGTTGTATTGTTTTTTTAAGTTTTTGCACTTATTGATTATTTGGGCTCTATTAAAGCCAAAGCCCAGCTCTTTCATCTTAGTAATTATCAGCCCGTAGGTTTGTGCGTTCCTCCTTGTCCCATCAAAACTTTCTTGTGTCTGGGCAGACCCCCACACACTTATCAGGGCGAAAGTTGCCTCTTCCGTCCATGCGTTTTTTTCTATTTATTTTCAGGGAAATTAATAGGGAAGTCCGGAGTAAAGTTAAGTAAAAATATAATTTTGCGGCGTAGGAGCAATGCACGTGTTGACTCTTTGGAGAATTGAGAGAAAAGGGATAGGAATAATGCTTGGGAGGACTCTTATCGCACTCGCAGCATGAGGTAGCCCTATTTTGGACATCCCTCGTTAGTAGGCCTAGGCGTGTAAAAGTCATTAATGTCATCACCGAGATCACGAGGATTCGCCTCGGGCAACTTTTAACTGGCAAGTTTGGTGGGTTGGCTAACTTGCTCTTCTGCCAGATGTTTTTTCAATTACCCCCGTTCATACTACCTTCGAATTATATTCCCGCAAACATTCAACGGGTAATAACATAAGCATGAATGGGCACATACTGTACATAGAACCTAAGTATATAACAGCCTACCCCCTGGACCACAGGTGGGCAAAGTGTGGCCTGACAGTGATTTTTTTTGTGGCCTGTAAAAATGAATTAAAACCCTATGTGTGCAGCCTGCCTGCCAACCATCTTCGACTAGAAAAGGCCTAGCTTTTGCGGACTGACACCAAACATCTGTAAAAAGTAATATTAAAACTGAGCATAAAGTGGTATCAAAGCAGTGCATGAAGGTTTTTGGAAACACATTAGAAATATCAAAATTTGGGTGCAGCCCTCAGTGATAAATCAAAAATTCAGTTTGGCCCTCTTACCCATATTTATGCCAACCCCTGCCCTATTCCATCACCCATCAGTGTTTAATTACAAAGTGATTGCATAGAAAAAGAGCATGCAGACTTGTGGGTGTGTGAAGAAACTGGTAGTGGAAGGCTGAGACCATGGACCTATTAATAAATAATGGACCTATTATTAATAGGTCCATGCTCAGATGTATAACAATCTACATGATTTACATAGCTGTTTCAACAGATGACTCAAGTGGATCATGTCACTGTTTCCTACCTGAAGCTGCCACTCCACTAGGTCAGTAGATGTCACCATCTCTGTAACTGGGTGTTCTACTTGTAGTCTCGTATTCATTTCCATAAAATAGAACTTGTGTTTTGCATCCATAATAAATTCAACAGTTCCTTAAGAAATATAATTTCAATATTTTAAGATCTAAAGAAATGTATCAAATAATATAATTTATGTACTAGAAATTGCAAATTGCATGTGAAGTGCTGCGAAGTACAACTGCATATAAATGTTCTTTGAACAAAATTATTTATGCAAGTCAAGTGAAAATAATGAATAATAAAAATATAACAAATAATATGAGACACGACCCATTTTCTATATTAGAACACATCTCATTGAGTAACAAAGTCGTAATTTTTCATTTTTGTCAAAAAGTGACTATAGTGGCGAATTATGGTTTAGGTTTTTTTTTAATAAAGTTTCAAAAATTTCTATGTATGTGGAAAATTTAGTTGATTACCAAATGTTTCTATTTTGAAGACTGCATGGTCTAGGAAGTGTACATTTTTTTATGGGGCAAGTTTCCAAGGGCGGGTTTTCTAGGGGCGAGTTGACTGCCAAAGAGTGTTGCCAAAGTGCGAGCCAGCATGTTATTTGATCACAAGTGCGAGACATCGCAAGTGTCAGCCAGCGAGCCATGACGTCACGACAATAGATACGAGACTTTACTCGAGTTGTGCGAGGTATCGGCTGATATTTTTGGAGTACAATTCAAAAAACAACTATAGGTCTAATAATGAATTATTGTGATGTTAAATAGACAGTGTTAGCTATCAAGGAGCGACGTCGTTTTTATTGGGACCTTCATCCCTTCAAGGCTAGGCCTATACCATCCTAGCTAGTCTAGGCCTAGAGTAGGATAATGCTAGCACGACATGCGGACGTTGGTACGTGTTGGTTAGCCTACAAACGTCGCCTAAAGTAATTGATTTTACCCGGCAGAACGAAAGAAGGAAACTCCGCTTTTAAGTCGTCTTAGGCCCTTGTTTTTTGACAAACAATGACTTTTCAGAGGTCAAATTGCTGTCAAGAATATGAATTGGCTGCTTCGCAGCAAAAACATTCTATATCATATGGTCACCGAAGAGACACAAACTTCAATTATTACCAAAATAATATTTTGATAAAAATGTGTTGTGGACTACTTCACAAAACCAAGATATCAAAATTTTAAATATTTGTTTACATATGTTTAAAGATAAAGCAATAAACAATTCAAATGTTCCAATTTATTTTTCTTTACTAACTTTAATCATGGAGGAAGTATATTAAGATATATTTCCTCCACGCTTAAATTAACCTGTTAATTAGCATGAAAGTTCAAGTCTCTTCGTGAAAACGATAAAAATAAACCCCGCATAGGTTGTTTACAATTACAGTAAAGTTGGTGTATCTTTGTGAATACGCAAATCTGCTTGATTAGTGAGAGGTTTCTAAACGCTACTTACCAGCTCCAACATAGTTCACGGCCTTAGCTGCTCGGACTGCAGCCTCTCCGATCTCACGGCGAACTTCCTCTGGTAGATCAGGCTTAAAAAATCAAACAGTAATCAACAAAATGTCAGTACAAAAAGTGTGAAACACGCTTGAACTTACCATAGAGAGATAATAAGTACCTCCATGGTCTTATACAAAATGTATTTGTAAAATACATTAAACAGTTGTGTCAAGAAAAAAAATTGTCTGTCTAAGCTTAATCATGAAAGAATGCTGCTCCTCCTCGACTGAAACATGTTATAATTTTGGCTTTACTAGTTGATTTATAGTATATGTCACAATTTCATTCATGTTAATATTTTGACATTCATATATTTGTTTTAATTGCTAGGAGTTAATGGCTGGACTTTTTTCTAATGTTTTATGCTTTGTGGTTTTATGATTATGTAATGATTTAATTCTATTGCTAACTTATCAATTTTTCTTATTTTAATGGCTTTTTATTGTCTTTCTATACCACAATAAATAAATAAATAAAATAAAATTAAAAGTAATTTTTAATATTATTATTTTTTATTTTATTCCTTTAGGCACATGGCCAAGTATTACCAATAGTGACTTAATCACTATGCTATTATAGGTGGCAATCCCTTCACATGACAATCATAAACACATGATACTTTACCTAGGCCTAAACCAAGTCTCATATAAGGCTTAGGGAGTGGAGTTGTTTTGGTCGTGAGAAATCCTTCTACCATGACAGGAATTGAACCTACGACCCTTGAAATGGAAAGCAAGCATCTTAACCACCAAGCTATTCAAAACTCCAATCCAAATAATATTCAACTTACTGCTGGTGCCTCTTCTATTATCTTTTGATGTCTTCTTTGAACACTGCAATCTCTCTCAAACAGATAAACATAATTTCCATGATGGTCACCAAATACTTGGACTTCAACATGCCTGTAGGAATCAATATTGAAACAATTTAATAAAATGTACGTATTATTTTAAACATATTCTAAACCTGATTAAAAAACACAAATTTCCACAAATACATTGTATTTGAGTTTACATTTTGTGTATTTTAATGTACTACAAGTTTTGTAAAATGATATTTCAAATAAGGTACTGTATTTAACAAAATTTAACAATATATGTGATTAATTAAACAAAAATATTTTAATGTAACTTCTAAAAATGTTGTAATACTGCATTAACAAAATCCAATGTGTTCAAAAGATTTTGGTAAATATCAACAATATTTAAATATAGGCTACTAAAAATGTTGTAATTATAATTATTAATGTTATTTAAAATTTCGTATTAAAAACAAATTGAGATAAAGAAAACCTTGGGTTGTCAACAAACTTCTCCACCAGCATAATATCATCATCAAATGACTTGAGTGCCTCTCTACGGGCAGACGCCAAGGCTTCTTCAAAGTCACCAGCACTTTGTACAACACGCATACCCTACAATATTGTGCAATAATTGAAAAATTAGTAAGCAAAATGACATAAACTTAACGTACTACCCACATTTCTTTAATGTATATACAGTACTATATTTTGACAGTTTTACAGAAGTATAGATTGTTCATTCATTAATTTTCATTCAATGTTTATTTCCAAAATGTATCACAGTTAAAAACTAAATTAGAGGGTTTCTTTTCTGCGAGTTGCGAGTTGCGAGTCACAAAATGCGAGTTGCGACCCAACAAACACACAATACATACATATATATATATATATATATATATATATATATATATAATGAATATATATATTGAAATGAAAAAAAAAATTCAATTCAAAAAGATCCATTAAGTAATAAATTATATAAATATAATTGATAAATTGACACCAAAAAACATTAAAAATTGAATTTATAAATAAATAAAGTTAAAAGATAAGATTAAGACAGAATTACCTGTAAAAAGAAATGCAATTTACAGAATTTGATTACAAGAACATTCAACTAACAATACTTTAGAAGATTGTTAATTTAGAATACATGTTCTGTTAAGCTTTCCTTATATTGTATAATCTTGTTCTTTTAATAAATATGCTATAACAACACAATTCTTTTAGAAATATGCTATATTAATGTGGAACAATATTAGGAAATAAAATAATTTAAATGACATTAGGTTAAGCTATGTACATAATATTAAATTAATGGGAAAAATTTGTATGATTTGTCCATATATGGACATAATGTCACATTACATTAAATATATTTGGAAATCACAGGTATCAGTCTCATAAAACATAATAGTGTGTATGTGTATGCATACCTTACCACCACCACCCCGGACTGCTTTTAACATCACTGGGTAACCAATACTACTGGCTTCTTGCTTTAATCTTTCATCAGATTGATCATCGCCATGGTAGCCCATTATGATTGGCACCCCAGCTGCTGACATAATTGCCTTTGAGGTACTGAATATAAAATTCATTAGTACAGTACATGTTATTAAAGGCATGAACATTTTTGAGAAAGACAGCATTTGCTGGTCTAACAAGTAAATATAATTTGCAAATATATAGTAGAAGATAGAGCTGGCATCAAACCAAGAGGATGACACTATTCAAGGACCAGTAGGGAGGCAATTACATATACCTTAATTTCTCTTTTAAATGATGGATCTACGCAATTAATTGCAGCAGATCGAAACCAGGTGGAGAAGAATAGGAGTATATTGAAGATGCAGGCTGACTGGAGGTCAATGAACCTTTAGGCATTAAGCCATTTCTTAGTCTCATCTGCACATGCAGATACCAAGTTCAATCGACATAAAAAAAACATTCACACAACACATAGGTTTATGTCGTTTGACTTTGGATACAGGCATGTGCATTTCAAACAACAATTGCTGAAGACACGAAACTTAGAATTGATGACTTCAATTCCCACAATTATTTTGGAGAACAATTATAAATTCCGACAACTCTGATAGCAGATCACATTATCAAGGTTCCAACATAAATTTATATTTTTTAACTTAAATGTAAACAAATAAACATTTATATTGCTATGCCTGTGCATTAATACTCAAATTGGATCATTTTGTAAAACATATCAAACCACTGAATAAATTTGCAAAATAAATTGTGAAATATAGCACAATATAAGAAATAATGATTATATTACAGCACATATTCATTTTGAGAATTGTAAAACAAACCTTTTGATTCCCATGTCTGTGATAGCAGATGATGGAGGGCCAACAAAAATGATGTTCTCCTTTTCACAAAGATCAGCAAACTCTGCATTCTCAGACAAAAATCCATATCCTGGATGAATAGCCTGTTAAAAAAACCAAACAAGCACTATTTATAAAGAAATGTATTTTCATTGCAAATTACACTCTGCATGAGCTTTGTTCTTTCCATGCTGAGGAGTGGGTGGAGACAAGTGATCTCACTAATAACTCCATGGTAGTAATTTTATTGGTTCAACCGTAATTGTCAGCATCATCTTTATTACCATCATTATCATCATTATTGCCAACATGACTATCATCATACATCATCATCTTCACCATTTCTTTTCATAGTATTACATAACAATGATAACCTCAGTAGTTAATGTGCGTTTTTGTCATGGATATTGGCATTATACAAATCCTTGTTGATTCATTGATCATCATTATCAGCATCACCATCATCAGAATTGTCGTCATCGTCATTACGATCAGTAATAGTCCTCAATTCATTACCTGTGCTTTAAACATTTTTGCAACATCTATAATCTTTTGCTTATTGAGGTAGCTTAACTGTGATGCTGCTGGCCCAATGTTATATGATTCATCAGCCTATAAAAATGAATTGAATAATAAAAAGGAATTAAAAAACAAAACATACTCATCACATTTGCCTAATCAACCTGAAGATTGGCTTGGGGTGCAAACTATTTTTTGTAATTGAATATTATGCAGTCCTACAATAAAGCTTCAATTCTCCTCATCTTCCTCACCGGGGACAGCATTTATTTTTTCTTTCTTTAATAAGTGATAGCACTTTCAGTGACGCAGCACTGGTTTCATAATTAGATCACATGAACAAAAATATATACATATATTGTTTATTTATATTATAAGAAATGAAAATCAGAAATTAAAATCAAATGAACAAATAAAAATCAAATAAATAAAAAAATCAAATGAACAGAAAATTAAAAGGAAAAACCTGAAAAATACAAAGAAAAGAACTGATTTAATTTGCTAAAGGCAAGAGAACATTACTTTGCAATGGAAATGAATAAAAATATTACAAGGTTTTGATTAAGTTTACAAATGTAGCCAGTTAAACATCATTAAATGTTGATCTATTTTTGTTTTGAAGCTTGTTCCATATCTTAGTTGCACAGTATAAAAATGTTTTCTTATATGGTGGGGCTTGGAACCAATCTGGTTCAATTGAGTATAAAGCAGGTCTGTAATATAAAGCTTTGTGTCAAATACTTGTTATATTATAGTTTTATAACATAAAGCATTAATGCATGTTTCCATAATCTGGGATGAAGTGGTGGTGGGGTGGGGAAGTCAGTGATGAACGATGGGTGGTTGATGCCATGGACTCCAGAAGCAAAGATCTTTTGATATTTAATATACCAGTATTTAGTTAAATAATATTAAATGCTTGTTCCGACAATTATAATAATGTGCAATTACTCTTACCATGGTAGTATGCAATGAGTTTTTATCAGCATCACTATACACAGCGACAGTTTTTATTCCCAGTTTGCGTGCCGTACGGATCACACGGCAAGCAATTTCTCCACGATTTGCAATTAGTAATTTATTGATAACATTCACCTTGCCTGTAAATAGAGCAGAAATTTGTTTTTTTCTATTCTAATCTTTAAAAAACTATTTAAACTAGTTTTTACTAGTTTGCTCTGAACTTTAGGTCATAGTCTATAGCTATTTTGACCTAATACTTTTCCTTGCACAATCATTTACATATTTATCGATAAAAGTTTATATTTCCCCCTCTTCCTAGATGATTTAAAGAAATTATACTAAATGAGAAAAGTAAAACACCATCAGTATGGTAATATTTCACCTGAATGCTAATATTCCAAGGGAATGGAATATCTCAGATATACAGTAATATTACACCAGTATGGCAATACTTACCTAATTGGTAATATCCCACTGGTATGGAATATCCCACATGTACGCTAGCAAACATTACACCTGCATGGTAATATCACACTTGTACAGCAATATTCCACCTGTACATGGTAATATCGCACCTGTACAGAAATATTCCACCAGTATAACAATATTAAACCTGCATGGTAATATCACACCTGTACAGCAATATTGCACCAGTATGGTAATCTCCCACCTGTACAGCAATATTCCACATGTATGGTAATATTCCACCAGTACAAATGCCTTACCTGTATGGCAACATCTGGCAGATATCCTGTGCCTTGTCAGATCTTTTAAATGTCTATGAAGATAATTTTTAGTCATAAAAATACATAAAATAAAAATCAATACCTGACTGTCCTGACATAGCATAGTTTATGATGTAGTGACAAAAATTAAATTATATTATTGTACAAAAGTTACTACTTTTTCATTCTTTCTTTATATCATTTCAAATTATTTTTGTAAAGATCAGTACACATACTATGGTAATATTAATCAGTAGGTTCAATTAGGGTAATAATAATGTATAGGTCTGCAAAAATACTTTACAGCCATTGTTCACCATAAAATTGCATCTATTGAAAAGGAATATAAAAAAAGTGATGAATTAAACATACTTGATTAAGATATCCCTTGCAGCATGCTGAGCAGCCATTGTGTTCTACGTCTTCAATTTTTCCCTAAAAAAAAAAGTAAAGTATGAAAGGTATAAACTTAGGAGCATGACTGTTAATTATCTGGCATGTGCATAGGAGTTTTAGAGAAGACTAGGCTACTTTAATCAATGTTCATCATATACGTACAGTAGCAAGTAAAGTAACAAAACGACAGTCTTTTATTAATAATTAGATGTTTACTGTTTGGCTGCTGACAAAACTGATGCAAGGCCTCGGAGGGATGAGGCTACCTACCAAGCCTAGGCCCTAGTCATTCCTCATACTAGGCTAGCCTAGCCTACTATGAAAAGGGGCTAAAAAAAAAGGTTATTTTTACAAATTAATCTCTGTACATGTTCTAACTAAAAGCAGTTTGGTAGGATGTAGCACTTCCACCGCCCATGCCCTGGTCGGACCTACACTCACTGACTACAGAGGTCAGCTGGGCTAGCCTACTCCTCATCATAGAGATAGGCCGAGCCTCTCTAATCCTAGATAGCTGGCTAGGTCTTGGCCAAGGCCTAACCTGGGGCTGGAACCAGGCCTAGGCCCTAGTCTCATGTTTTCCTTTACAATAGGCCCAGATCATATAATCTTACATGATATGGGATATAAAATTAATTAGTCGTTATTGCACTTATGTTAATTCTAAATTCCTAGGTCTTACAACTACAACACTAACCTTGTGTACCGTATAATCTCTCGTGTAATGTTTGGAAATAAAAAATACAGGTACCTCGAGTAGAGCGGATAATTATTACTTCGAGCAGATGGTCCCTGCAAACCAACGTAGGACGAGCGAATGATAATTCGAGAGAAACTGACAGAGGGGGCGAGAAAGAACAATCATTTTTTCTTTATCAGTGGCGTAAACAGGTGGGGGAAGACTATCCCCCTACTCTGACGGTTTTTACCGGGCTGGGTAATAGGAGAAAAGAAAGAGGGGAGAGGTAGGGAAAGAGAAAAAAAAAGGGGAAAAGAAAAGGAAAGGTAAGGTAAAAGGAAAAGAAGGGAAGATAAAAATAAAAGACAAGAATAAAAAGGAAGATATCATAATGACCAGACTCACTTGTACACCCAGCGAAGTACCACTTCTCCACTTCAAAAAGTGTCCATAGCTCTTTGATCTAAGCCGCCAGATATTCTCCGCAGTGGCGTAACCACCGAGGGACAAGGGGAAAATATCCATCTGTGGAAAATCTTTTCCCACCCCTTGAAGTTGCCATTTTCACCCCCTGAAAGTGCCAAAAAATCTAAAATTTCTTGTTAAAGTATGCCAATTTCCTCTAAAAATTGCACATTTTAGGGAGTTTTGATAATTCCGACGAATTAAAATTAAAAACACGCATTTTTTAGGGTTCTAAGTTATTTAAACACATAATATCCCAAACTCAAAAAAGAAAATTTGAGATAGATCGTTTTACCTAAAAGAAGGGCCTCAATGTGTATTGATAGTGAAAGAATGTTTGTAGTAAATAAAACCATGATGAAAATGCTTATATTTAGTTTCAAACACACGTGTGTGGCCTATATTGTAAATAAGGTAAGCCCTATGTCGTATTGTTTTCTATGGGGAGGGGGGTGGTGGGTGTGATGAATTACTAACCGGGAAAATTATTACCTTGGCCCCCCTCCCCCGAACCAAAACCCCTGTTACGCACCTGACGTTTATTCTGACTTTTGTTTTGTGGTTTTAACGTTTTTACTACGGCTTCATTTAGGAAGTTTCTTGGCCAGTTGTTTATACTTCTTGTAGATTTTGAGGCTGGTGCAATATGGGGTGCTAGAACTTTGTACAGTATCTGCAAATGCGCTTTCAATAGTAGAAGATATGGGATATGAAATAATGTATACTCAAAAGTAAAGATTTAGCTCACATCAAACGAGTGGAAACACGAATATTAATGCTATATTTTTTTGGGTTTTTTTTCTTAATGTTTTTTATTTTCAAATTTCAAACAAACCACGAAGTCAAACAGAATTCGAAAACGTACACCGACACACAAAAAGGGCAAGTAACGAAAAAAGAAACAATAAACAAACAGCATCATGCCATTCTGTCTTGTAGACGCTATAAACAGAAAAGGTATGAAATGTAATTTCATCTGCCTGGAAGTTGGAATTACGGGGCTACGAATTTCCCTAGAGTTTTGCATTATTTTTTAAAATATTATTTGGTTGAATGTAATGGATACTTTCTGCTGTTATAGTACATAGGCACGTTTTGTTAGTTTGGCATTTCACGATTTTATTTATTACAGTATTAAAATTATACAGTATACTACTGTATTTTAATGTTTTACTGTACTTTTAATTTACAGCAGGTTCAACTATATTCAGTATCATCATCACCACCTGTTCTGGTCACTGCTGGTCGATGACCTCTAACACCTCCTTGAGCATTTCTTTAGAGCTAAACTCTTTCATTTCCAATTCTTGTAATTGATCCTATCGATTCCTCAGTGTTGCTTTTTTTTTTGTTAGTCATATGGGTATCAAACTGTAGTTCCACCGAAGAGCTTAAATATCCCTTTTTCATCGTCACCATCATCACCTCCAACAACACCACCATTGTTGTTATCATGACCAAGATCATCCAACAACACCACCATTGTTGTTATCATGACCAAGATCATCTAAACCATCACCCATCACCCACCCCCCTCCCCCCGCCACCAATACTTTTGTCTCAAAATATCTCATACTGTGCTACCTTAATCCAACTGCAGTTATTTCATTTATGAAATAGTAAGGTAGAAATAAATATTGCAATCATGTGACAATCAAAAGTAATATATAAACTCCAAGGCATTACCGGTACATAATTTTTTTTTGTTTATTTATTGTGATGTAAAAAGTCGTTGCAGACAAAAGACTTTCAGATTTGTATTTGCTTGACCTCAAAAAAGCCACTTTACAATAAGCTTTAGGATATGTGAAATTTCCACATACCAGTAGTTTCATCGGTTTGTTAATCCGATCCAAGTGATAATATAATAAACTATAAACACAAGATCTTAATGGTAGTGAAGGTCTGTTTATATTTGTGTTTCATCTTCTAGTTCATCTGGCCAACAAAGGCATTGATTTTATCCTCCCTGTTGCCATAATCACCACCTTCAACAAAGTGATTTCCTTTCTTCTTGTATCCACCTCGTGGGGAGCTGAGTTGGAATGGCCAGAGGAAATTATTGGCTTGTTTGAAGTTTGGACCAACGGTGAAGATCTCATGAATAAGGTCCTCTACACAGATGATTCCCAAATGGCCTGAAACAAACAATACATAATAAGGATGATAATAATCACAATACTGTACTAAGATGTAGATAATACTGTACCCTTTAGGTTAACTTCAGTGCATCTAGGCATCTTATAGGACATATAATAATGAAACATATTCATTTCAGAAGACCTACTGAAGGTGCTTTTTCTCCTGGTCATTGCAAAGACAACCATAAAACTGTAATATGTTTGGTCTAGGAACCATGCCAAAACTCTACACATCTTTTGACCTTTGTTCATTAGAGCACAATACAAATTTACAAAATTACAGTTAAACTTGCCTAAGTCGACTTTGTCCAACTCAAATAATTTCTATGTTGGAACTTATTTTACATGCCAAATTGTCGTGTCTTCCATTAAGAATCTGTAAATCAAACTTTATCGAACAATTTTTCAATGGCATTTTGGATTCAACTGTACTCTCAATGTCATGGCTAAAAAGATGAATTTCCAGATTCCTTTGAAATCTGGAGACAAAAACTGACAATTTGATTTTGTTTTTTTATTTCATTTATTTATTCAGACAAGTGTCCTGGTGCCCCAAAAGCATCAAAATCACCATAACAAAAGTCTGGAGCCCTAGAAAACTAAACTTAACTACATTAATAGTGAGTATATAAAATAAAAATAAAAATTATAAAAAAATACACAGATTTTGGTAACAATTCAATAATTGATAAAATTTCATAAAACAACCATAAAACATTTTATGCGTCGAAAAAAAATTGTTTAACTTGCCTTAAGAAAACCGAGAGAGAACAAAGGACTGCAGAATCGTAATAGGGAGCAAGTATCTACTACTAAGCTACAGATATTCTTTGTTATTTTTTCAATTTACCAGCTACAATAAATTCATTGTATACAGCTAGTGGTTATGATGCTTGCTATTTATATCCTTACACAGCAGGATTTTACCTCATGACTTTAACCAACTCCTCCTCAAGCCTTAATATGTAAAATCTACTGTTCTCTTTTTTAAGAACAGTACACTTATACTGAACGATTTACCCAGTATAAACAAGATATTATATATAGATACTACATTAGCAGACAAATCCAGCCTTGGCCTACCTAGTGTTCCTTCAATAACAGAGTTGTCAGTGATAGCAACACGTCTCCTATCAACTTTTCCATACCCACGTTTGTAGATCAATTCACGTACTGTTTTCAAATTTGGATATCTATTGCAAAAATAAAACAAAAATTGTGGACATTTAGTTAAAGAGATCAACAATCACATAAAACATGATATTTGAAGAGCCCTTTTCTTGATCCAACTTACCCCCAAGCAATGTATGGGTCAACGAGTCTAAGCATCTGTAGAGTAGCATGGTTGAGGCGGATGAATATACCGTTATGGATCTGTCGTAGACGTAGCAACTGCAAGATCTTCTTCACACGTGGACTCACACCATTAATACTATTGAGCAAACACAAAATACATAAATATAAATAAAATTCCAAAATCATTTTTAAACCAACTTACCTTAACTTATAAACCTTATACACTATACTCATGCGTGATGTTATCTAACCAAGATTATGTCGAGGGTTTACAGCATCTCTGCTATTCTAGGCCTGAAGTGATAAAGTTTGCTTGTGGGTGGTTTTAGAACATGTTTGCGACCGATGAAATATGGATGAAAATAGGATAAAAAATTTTCAAAATGTCTCATCATCACTGTCTTCTTTGTTTTTATCTATTATTATTATTATATAATAACTAAGGTGGGATTATGTACATGTCACTGATTTTACTAGGATTTATTTGTGATTACAGTAACATCTCCCAATTATGTACCCCTCCTTCCAAACAGGGTTCATAAATGAGAAAATTTGTAATTCAGAAAGTTCAAATTTTCAGCATCTCAGTGTGGCGAGGGTAGGCCTAGGCCTATGCTACAAGGTACAGTGCTAGGCAAGCCTAAGCTTTGCCATGGGAGAGAAATTTTGTCACGAAATGACTTGGATTTTACCGTTTTCTGCAACCAAATAATACTTTACAGAAGCCAAAATTACCTGTGCTTACTTGTGAAGTATTCATTTGAAGTTATTTCAAAATGAAAACATGACCATATAATGCCCAAAAAGGGTTATATTTTTCTTTTCATAAAGATCGCGAATCCATACAAATAGCGCCCCCAATGAACAAAAAGTGAGATTTACTGTACAGTATGCCTAAACAAGCATGCACAGCTAAAATATATCTCGGCTGAAAACGATTGATATTTCTTGCTTTAAACTTAGTTTTATATCAATTTAATGGTTTGAATGTTTTCCCCCTTAGCTGATGTAACAGTTTCAATTATTTCTTAAGACTTTAAAATATATATTTTAAAGTGTTTTTGTAGTTTGGTTCGTAAAATCGAGAATTCGTAAATGGGAGGTTCGTAATTGGGAGATGTTACCGTACTGAAAAATTAATAAAGATTATGATTAAGACCCACAGATTCTGAATATAATATTAAGTAAATCCAGAATCTATCTTACCCTCTTATTCTGACAACAAATGCCAACTTTGCTTCTGCTGGTACATAGAAGTTTCCGGCAGATCTTGCCTGACGCTTCATGCGGATCTCATCACGTTCCTTACGACGGTATTCCCGGATGTACTGCTCAGCACGCTTGAAGATCACCTTTCGTTTCTTTTCATTTGACTTCTTGTTCAAGAGTCTTGCTTGTACTTTCCTTGCTTTCTCAGTCAAGTTCTTTTTCCTCTTTTTGAGGAGGGTCTCTGGTACTTGCCGGAGCTTTCTAATTTTACAAAGTAAAAAAAAATACGTTTTAGCATTTAAAATATAATCTAATTTTTACGTGAAACAAAATTTTCCTGCAAATTCTGCAGAAAATTTGGACTAGCCCTAGGTCTCAATATACTAATGCATTCAGCCGTTACAACTCTGAGCACATATTTTCCTAGCGATTTTCTGTGAAATTTATAAAATATAATTTACTCCAAATTTTCAAATTAGCTGTCAGAATTTTTTTTGCCCCAAATGTAAATCTAAACTTTAAGTAGTTGACTAGGTCCTGATTTCATATGCAACATTTTTAGATTGCAAACAGTAATTGTTAACATAAGGATACCATGTCTTACTGGCTATTTTGAATAAAATACTGCTGTATATTTGCATTTTTTTAAATATGAATTATTTTTTGACAAAAGAAAAATCTTTTTTGATTGTTTTTTGTGAATTGGAAATACTACAAGAACTCGAAGCCAAGCACCCAAACGGCAGTAGCAATACGCCCTCGTCGCTGAATTCCTCATCATTGAAAAGGAATCTATCAAAATGTACCCTGTCCAGCACCCAGACTGTATAATATTAGTAAGGCCTGCATCCTCCGTAGTTAGCTACTATACCAATAGGCCTAGGCCTACATAGGCCTAGCCTAAAATAGGAGGACGAGACGTAGCCTAGCTAGCTAACTGCATTCTGAATAGGCCTAGCTAGTTGATTTTGTATAGGCAATAGCTAACATTGTGATATTCAAAACATAAGCGAATTGTGCATAAGCTGTGTATTTCATCAATCAAGGCGAAAACCTGCTCCGTGTTGATATTACTAGGCTTATTCGAGATAGCCAAGTTACGTAGACCTAACTCAAGTTATCAACATCACTGATTATAAAAGTATTTTCATATGGATTTGAATGCCTTATAGGCAGCAAAATAATATCTAATGTTACAATGAATTCACATAAATTTAATTTTTAAATCATAGTTATGCTTAAAATAACTGATTTCATAGATTTAACACGATTATTAAGCAGATGTCACAAAACATACTTATCCGCCATGTTGGTTTTAGAGAAAAGGACCACACAACGAAATATCCTTTGTTATATAGACTAAAGTCTTTTGTAATAGTATTACAATTTAAAAATAACAGTTCAATAAATCATAAATTACTAATTTTAATTATAATTTGAAATAAGAATGTATAAAATATCTGTAAACAATATTTTAATATATTAATTTTTATTAAGATGTTTGTGGTGATTGGCTTAAATTGCGCCCTCTATAAAAATCGAACGCCAACCACCCACCACAAGTGGTGGAGTCTGCTCACTTTGGTCAAATACAGACCAGTTTGGTCTACTATTAGACTAGATCGGAGTTTAATTAATTATATCGTTTATTTTTAACACAATTGAAGTAATTATTCAAAATTCCGACACAAAAGTTGCAGATATACAGAAAATAGAGTACTTTTAGGCCTACATTTAGGTATTGAGTCTTTAGTTTGGTAGTCAGTAAAGTGCCATAGTTGTTCTACTCTATGGAAAATAGCTTTTTAAATTATTTTAGCGAACACCCGTCGAGTCCTCTAGCCTAAATTTAATATTTAATTCTATAATTTATCTATTTAACACTGTGCAATCTCAAGAATAGACCCGAGAAAAGAGTCACGTTTGAGTGTGAACTAAAATGGTTTTATATGGGTAGCTTATAACAAATTAATGTAATGCACCATCAATTCGCTCGATTCACACATACAGAAAATTACGTCGTAATCATATGCCTAATTAAAAGAGCATAGGAAAATCAACTCCCAGCCCATTTATAAAGCTATTTAATTTTTTTTTCTGTTTTAATCCACGTGTGTTCCTTAGATACATAACTCAGTGAAAAAGACGATGAGATGTCAACGACTTGGTAGACTTAGAACACAAATTTTATTCAAAACATGAATATTTCAACCCGTCCTCGGGTCTTCTTCAGCATATATTTCTCACGTCGGGTCGGGCTGCACTGACACTATGTGCTCTACATGAACTAAGTTTTACAGAATATCGTGAGAAATCTGACAGGATTTAAACCCAGGACCCTGGATTTGCACCATCAAGCTATCCAACTCCACTCTGAAAGAAAAACTCAACGTTTTCAATTATAAAATTACCACATATTCGTTTTTAACTTTAATGAGAACATCGAAAACCAATCTTGGGGTAGGGCGGGTCTCACGCTAAGAGTGCATAATATGCTTATAATAAGGAAAAACTAAAAATTCCCAAGCCCAGCTGCACAGTGACATTTGGAAATATTCGTTCGTATAGATTAAGACTCAGTGCGAAACATCCATAACCATGGTCTATAACCAGATGTCTTTTAATGTTTGCTAAATTTATAATTGTTGACAGCCTTAATCTATCTCTTTGGACAAAACAGACAGAGATCTTGTTCAACTTGTAAACAAACTTTTCCCGTGGCTTGCTACTCAGCAGGACCTGTGCAAAACCTCGTTTATCTGTCGCAGGCAATTATAATTATTATTACTAGGCCTTACAACTGAGCAACGAGTATTGAGTGTTGATTACAGTATATGTTTGAAGTTCAGTGACAGGCCTGTTTTATTCAATTTTTGCCGTAGCAAATGTTTTTTAATACCATAAAACCGCAAATAGAAGCCCCATGGGCTTAATCTCGAGAACAAGCCCGTCTAGAATAATGATGTTTATATTTAGTAATAATAATAATAATAATAATAATAATAATTGAATAATTGAATAATAATAATAATAAGTATTGATGAGGATAATAATAATGATCAACATCACTATAATAATAACAATTCTAATAATAATAATAAAAATAATAATAATAATTATTATTATTAGCATCAGGCCTATCATTATCATTAGGCCCATAATTATCATTTTCATCATGTTATTTGTTTATTTATTTGTAGGCCTATATATCTTCATTATTATTAATTAAACATTTATATACAATTGTGGAAAATTAGGCCTATACTGACTTTATTTTGAGATACAGATAAACCATATAGGCCTATATGTGCATTATGACTATTTTTATTCCTCTTTTTTTAATGACATCTATACGTATTTTTTAAAAAAAACTATATATACATATATTATACTATTCATTTTTATTCTAGATTATAAATTGCTTTGTTGATCCATTTGTTCTTATTGGAAAATAAGTCAATATTATTTGTTAACTACGGTACTTTGTTACATACCAGCGGCGTTATATGTATATGTGCGTATGTGTATGTATGTATGTATGTACGTGTATATATATACATATTTATATATTTTTAATCTAAACTGTTCATTGCAGTTTAGCTTTACCATGTAAGATATACAGTTATTAAAAAAAACAACAATATGAAAAAATAAATGTAAATACATATATCCTACAACAAGAACAAGTGTTGTATGAAATGTATACTGGGGAAAAAAGAGAATAAAGGTGGGTTGCTCACACGAAAGAGAAAAAAAGAATTGCTTGTAACTGCAACATTAATACAATTTTCTTAATTTATGTTCTTCCTCATAATTTAATAAATCTACAATTATGGGAAATGCCACATTTATTATAAACAAAGTAATGTAATATTTACTTTACTGTGGAAGCAAAGTTATCGTGATATGCAAAAAGTTCTTCATACCAAATAGATAACAGTTGATTCCCACATAGAATCTTAGACCTGTTAGGCCTTTTGATGAATAATATTTTCAAAAAGGCGCTATATCAATAATATGAAACGATCTGTGTTTTGATTTGTTATTGTACATGATGACGTTTGGCTGTGAAGACTGATTTTGCAGGAGGCGGTGTTTTTTAATGTCATGTTGAAATCTCTTCCAGAAAGGTGCGAGCAAAAGCCAGTATTTAGGATGATTGACTTTGATTAGGCCTATTTTGTTTACTTGAATAGATCAGATAATGTTCAAATAAAAAAAAAATTGTAATGGTCTTGTAAAGGGATTTACAATCTCGTTCATCTGTTAAAAAATAAGAATGTGCCCAGATATTCCAGAAACAAGATTGCGTTCGTGAGAATACACATGGACCATGATTTACACCATTTTCTCTCGTATGCCTGTAGTACCGGTACATCATATTCAACACAATCGACTTGAAGCGTATACAGTATATTTAAACTTAGGCCTATTTCAAAATAGAAACTAATATATGTAGCCTACTTGTCTATGTCACCTAATTCTGAAATCGTTCCAACCTGCGGATCGTGTCATTTTTAGTCATTGTCGTGCGTAGATTGTAATTAAAAGTTGAACGAGATATATTTCCTTCCAAGGCTTAATAACAAACCATGGAAAAGAAAAATAAAGGCTAGACCTAATTGATATGTTCCTACATTCTTTGCAAACTCTTTGTAATCAAGGTGTCTGTAATTTGTAAATCAATTAAAAGGAATTGCTCCGATAGTGTGTCTCGTTGGAATAACCTGATCCTTTTACACATGTACGATTTTATTGATTTTTTTAGTGCTCGTACAGCAGACGTTGTCGACTCAAGCATACCGTACAAAAAAACAAAACAAAACAAAACAAAAAACAAACAAACAAACAAATAAAAAACAGAAACAGTTAACTCCAATAATTTTCAAAAACAAGAACGAGTTCACGCTAGAGTATTGACAAACGTCATCCCATCAAGTTTCTAACAAAATAATATTTCATTTCATTATTTATTATTCACTCTATCATATTTATATATTAGACTCTTTATTGTTTTCTTTCCTGAATTGAATACGGTGCCTGAAACGATTACGATATATATACACCGTGGCGACAGAGGTGCCTGCATATTTTGTAGTGATTTAGTATTTTGAATCATTACAAATGAGCTATCGTGGAAGCTCGACCCGTCCTATTAATCTAGCGAATCTACCGAAAATAGATTATGGTTCATCTTAAATTGTAAATCTAATGTAGTAGCTCATTAGGTAAGCGCCTGTGCGACGACGCCATCAAGAATTATTATGCTGCTGAAGTATGCTTCATCACTAGCGATGAGAAGAGAATATCCCTAGAATTCTCAAAATATTTCAGAAAAATGTTCTGATAACGCTAACAAAAAAAAAAAAATGTATTTTATTGGTGACAATATTCATATATATATATTATATTTTAAAAAGAATAACTACGTGCGTTGCGCGTACCATCAAGATATATTACATAATTTCGAATTGGATGCTAGGGTACCGCAAGTCTCCATATTATGTTAATTTGTAGTTAATTGATGTAAATGTTCATAACACCGACGAAAGCTCGCAAGTCATCCATTGTGCTTGGTTTATTATAAAACAGTTCTACACTGTTTTTGTCATGTTAACGCTCTTTAAAACGTATCTAAATTGTTATTGATGTTCCCTACTCGGGTCGCATTTTATTGAATGCGCAACAACCTATAGCTTTTGATCATATTTTTGTATTCTCAAGTCAAAATAAGCGGCTCAGTGTAGTTTGTCATCAGTCAATGCATAGAATGTGAATGTAAGGCCTACTGCATCGAACATGTCCACACTAATGATGTTCTTGATGAAGGCCTACATGAATTCATCATCATATTCGTCCTCTAATGATCCGTTAGCAGAGAGGTGTTAATTGGTGTGGTAAAACTTGGAGATGTTCAATGAAAACTTTTATTTAAAGACATAAAAATAAGCTCTCAACTTTTGGGACAAAGACTTGTGTCTGCTCTGAATTATAGACTACGAAAACCTTTAAATCTTCGGACCTTTCTGGCATGTCAATTAAACAACCGACCAATCAAAATATCGCTAAGATTACGCACTTGTCCCACAAACACGTGCTTACGTATGTTGACGCTGTCTTTTGTGGGACATAGCAACAATCTGCAAGAGACAGGGCTTAGCGCGGAAAGGTCAATTGCCGTAAAGTTTATTTAGAAGGGTTTTTATGGGGGCGATTATTCGAGGGAAGAATTTATTCGAGGGAGGCATTTTTTTAAATGTAAAATGGATAAGTATATACATTACTAAAAAAACGCTCCTTAATTTCACTGTAAATGTGGAATTACAACACATAATTACCATCACAATATGTTATTGTGTGATCATAAAGACTGATCCCAACCAGGTAAAAAAAAAAACTGTAACTGTACAGAGTAGAACATAATAGAATGTGTTGAGAATGATGTTGCTTCCATTAGATTTGTTTAATAAAAAGTATAGCCATGTTAGTCTGTACAGTATATAACAACATAAAGTAAAGTACAGCAGCACGTTTGAGACCAACAATACAGAATTTATTCTCAATAAATTCTATATTGTTAGTCTCAAAAGTGCTGCTGTTCTTTACTTCATATTGTTATAGATTTGTTTAGTCATTTGGTGGGGTGGGGTGCTTATTTGAGGGAGGTGTTCATTCCAAATGAGGCTCCAGAGGAGCATTTATTTGATGGGGGAATATATTCAAAGCCTGTCTCTAAAAAAAAAAAATGTATTTTATTGGTGACAATATTCCTATATATATTATATTTTCAAAAGAATAACTACGTGCGTTGCGCGTACCATCAAGATATATTACGTAATTTCGAATTGGATGCTAGGGTACCGCAAGTCTCCATATTATGTTAATTTGTAGTTAATTGATGTAAATGTTCATAACACCGACGAAAGCTCGCAAGTCATCCATTGTGCTTGGTTTATTATAAAGCAGTTCTACACTGTTTTTGTCATGTTAACGCTCTTTAAAACGTATCTAAATTGTTATTGATGTTCCCTACTCGGGTCGCATTTTATTGAATGCGCAACAACCTATAGCTTTTGATCATATTTTTTTGTATTCTCAAGTCAAAATAAGCGGCTCAGTGTAGTTTGTCATAAGTCAATGCATAGAATGTGAATGTAAGGCCTACTGCATCGAACATGTCCACACCAATGATGTTCTTGATGAAGGCCTACATGAATTCATCATCATATTCGTCCTATAATGATCCGTTAGCAGAGAGGTGCTACTTGGTGTGGTAAAACTTGGAAATGTTCAATGAAAACTTTTATTTAAAGACATAAAAATAAGCTCTCAACTTTTGGGACAAAGACTTGTGTCTGCTCTGAATTATAGACTACGAAAACCTTTAAATCTACGGACCTTTCTGGCATGTCAATTAAACAACCGACCAATCAAAATATCGCTAAGATTACGCACTTGTCCCACAAACACGTGCTTACGTATGTTGACGCTGTCTTTTGTGGGACATAGCAACAATCTGCAAGAGACAGGGCTTAGCGCGGAAAGGTCAATTGCCGTAAAGTTTATTTAGAAGGGTTTTTATGGGGGCGATTATTCGAGGGAAGAATTTATTCGAGGGAGGCATTTTTTTAAATGTAAAATGGATAAGTATATACATTACTAAAAAAACGCTCCTTAATTTCACTGTAAATGTGGAATTACAACACATAATTACCATCACAATATGTTATTGTGTGATCATAAAGACTGATCCCAACCAGGTAAAAAAAAGAACTGTAACTGTACAGAGTAGAACATAATAGAATGTGTTGAGAATGATGTTGCTTCCATTAGATTTGTTTAATAAAAAGTATAGCCATGTTAGTCTGTACAGTATATAACAACATAAAGTAAAGTACAGCAGCACGTTTGAGACCAACAATACAGAATTTATTCTCAATAAATTCTATATTGTTAGTCTCAAAAGTGCTGCTGTTCTTTACTTTATATTGTTATAGATTTGTTTAGTCATTTGGTGGGGTGGGGTGCTTATTTGAGGGAGGTGTTCATTCCAAATGAGGCTCCAGAGGAGCATTTATTTGATGGGGGAATATATTCAAAGCGGGGTGCTTATTAAAAAAAATATGGTATAATACACCACAGACCCTATGCACTTTCAATACTGTACAGTCAAGACACAGAACTTTGATGAATATGGCATTTATTTTATTAATACATAATATAGAAATGATGGCTAAGAATGGTAAAATACAATGGTTCAATATTATTTTGCTTAATTGTTATTTAAATATACATTAAATATGTTGCTGGCATGACCCCTTAACATAATAAATAACAATAATGATGCAGTAACTTCATACAAGACCATCAGAATGCTGCAAAAACCCTCTGGTAGTGGACACACTGCAGCATAATTTCTAAAACATATTACAGTACATAAAAATGACAGCTTCAAAAATTACATGGCAATGTTTGATGTCCCATAAAACATAAAACTTCCAGTTTCAATTTTGATTTTCAATCAATTACTTGTGTATGGTGATCTGTGTATTTTTTGGCCAAAAACAACAAAAAAAAGTTTCTCATGTCCTTTTGCATCTTTTTCTTATTGAGGAATACCACCCTTTTATGAGGTTAAAAACATAGAAAACCCAGAAATTCAACACTCATCCTTATAAGCAATGAAAGTCCATTGGTGTGCAGTCCTGACATAGACCTTAGGTCTGAAGGTGCATGTGTTCGAGTCAAAAGCGAAAATAAATTATAAAGTAAAAAGGGGTCTAATACTCTTAAAAAAACATATAAGGATGAGAAACATAATTTTTATTTAATTGGCCGTACAGTAGAAGGTATATATTATAGCTGCCATCAGAAGAACAGATACAAACAATGCTAGGTAAATAAATAATACATGGTATTATTCTACATTTGATGAGAACACAGGAGTCGGTCAATCCATGATGAAACCTGAGACCTGAATGCAATTATATTTTGCAAACAAAATGGTTTCTTCCTAAGTTAGGACTACGATATTTATGAGATTTTCAAACATCTGACATTAAGTACAATAGTTTTAGCACACTTGCATGATCAGAGAACTGCTTTAATATTTCATTTAATTGAAGAAATTATTTACATAAGAATATTACAAAACCTTTACCAAAATACCCGTTTCACAGTACAGTATATATTTACACAGAGATGCATGAAATAGCATGAACGAACACATTTCTAATGCTATGCTTTTAATAGAAAGCACAGAGGATGTGATGTAAAGTAACAAAGTGAAAAATTTGCGCATTAGCTTAATTAATTGATGAGATTCTAATTAATGTTAATACATCAATGACGTAAATAATTGCAAGCATTAAATGAAGATACAATACACACAGACTTCTTGAGTAACTACAAATATCAACTAATCAATGTGCTACAAAATACACAGTAGAATGAAAATTTCAATCAAAAGAAAAGCATTTCAAAAACTAACAATGGCTCATCACCAAGTGCTTTAACAAAATTAATGTATACTCGGGAGGTCTGGGCAAAAATATAAATGACCAAGTAAAGAAAAATTACTAGATTCCTCATCTGTAATTTAAAAAAGAGGCAAGAATTATGCTTTTTCAGACCAAGTTGGTGTTGCTGCTGCTGTTGTTTGTACGGAGCCTGATCTGCCAAGTCCGAAATAGAGGAATGTATGCCATTCCAACAAGATGCACCAAAAAAATAGGATACATCTAGTTATGACAATGGCAGTAGAATGGTGTGTGACATTTCTATTTAAAATATAATTGAGTGGTAACAAAGAAGAAAGCACTAAAGAAAGAAACTAAATCTTTTTTTGTACTTGGCATACATTATTATGAATTAAGTACAGTACAGTACTTTGATCATTCACCCTACACCAAGGTGATGATTAGTTGAGGTTCACTCCAATTCTAAGTGTTAAAAAGAATTTTAAAAAAGGGAATATTTCACAAACATCCATTGTGTTCCACAGCAGAGCCTACATAATAATTAATATCATAAGTATGAGGAAAGTGGATGGGTGGGATATGGAAAGGCGTGCTTGAAATCAAAGCGTTACATTTTAAGCACCATTCTCATATACATTTAATAGCACAAAATTTGGAGTTTTGAGAGTTGGAAATAAAACTTTGGTTGATTTCTTGATATAGAACATATTGTTGAATTCCAAGATATATTAGGAATTTCAGATGCTTTTAATTCATTTTAGATCATTATTTTAAACATTAATATTCATAAAATTGTGACCAATTATTATCACTTTAATTCAGATCATGTGATGCAAGTAGGCCAATCATTTCCATTTGACACTTGAACTACTGTATTTTACTTAGCCAATGATTATGGGTATTGTACCATCCAACATAATGAATTTAAAAGAATACCACAATATAGAAAATTACTGTATCCAACCTTTAATTTACTGGACCTTTTTGGCAACATTCTGTACAGTTGGTAGGATATCATAATCTTTTTTTATACAAAAAACATTTAAAATTTCTATTTATGTAAAATAGCAATCAAATTGGATAGTATCAAATCTATACTTGGGAGGCCTCTGGCCTATGCATTTTATAAGCAACCACAAGTAACAACAAGAATTACAAACATCGAACAAATTTGCTGCATTTAATATAGCTCTGTTAGAAAGTTTTAGAAAAATGCTTACTTGCTAATGAAAACTACAGTTTTACTATAAAGGTTGGTTTTACAATGAATTATACTAATGTAACACAAAATAGATCGAAAACAACCAGCTGTGACCATGGCTACCAGCATCAATTGTTACTGTCACTTGCATCTTCTATCACCACCTGCATCAACATCATCACCTGTACAACATCATTTGCATAACCTTTCCACACAATACCATCAACTTCATCAATGCATCAACACCATCATCAGAAACTCCTGTAACATGCTACAAATTCAATACATAATCACTGCCACCACAACCTACATCAAACCCAACCATCAAACAAATCACCAGCAATACCTGCATTATACAATACAAACAAAAGTTTATAAATGCTCTGAAGCCAGATTTGCAGCTTAGTATTTTAGATTTTTTACTTGTTGAGTACTTGCAAAAGGGACTTGCTACATCATGGTGACTATTAATGCATTTTGAATTCTTTACAGTATAATCTTTATTTTGGATATGATTTCTAAAACAATGTTTATGGCTATTATGGTCAGCTCTACGAATAACAAGAAGCCTTCTGAGGCTAGGGAATTTTTTTTTATTGTAACAATTGTTAATAGAGAATATTAAGTAGTTTTGCAAATTAAATTTTTTGCGCTATTTTTGTTGATGACATTACTTTAAAAATGTGATAATTATTAGAAAAAGTGTCAACACAACACAATAAACACATGCACACTCAACAACATTATCAACAGCTGTGGACTCACCATCTGCACCATCATCACTTACATTATCAAGAATCACCAAGGCCACAGCTTCCCTCACTGGAAACAACAGCCTGTGTAGCAATACAATCATCAGCCATAGGCATTATCTAAATTACAAAAATCTAATTCTAAACATTAAAATGCATCACAAACAGTTCATTATCATTTTGTCTTTTTACAGTTAAAACATGAAATCAAAGCAAGAATGTTGCAATGTTCGAAAGCCCATAAAGTAATGCATAATTCTCAATACAAACAGCAATGAAATGCAAATGTCAATAATCACCATCATTATCAATATCATCGTCCTCTGTTAATCATTTTAGCCACTTATATTTTGAAGGCATTGAATCAATTTACAAGGTTTTGGTATAATCCTTAGTATCTTAATTCTCATACAATAATTTGTATTTAGTAAGGAGTGGATCTTAACATCCAAGGCACATCATCTCAGATGCAATGGTAGACATTCTCCTTCTAAAATAGGTGGGGGTCCTTAATGGCAAGATCACAATTACGTAATCTGTAGTCACCTGCAGGTACATGTTGAGTTCTCGTTGTCATCTCAATTAATAGAATATTGATTTTTTACTTTACTAATTGATAATGAAGACGATAATAAGGAAAGTAATAATAAGTTATCACAATTGAACTTCAATGCTTTTCACACTTTACAGTATATTAAATACTGAAAGTAAATCAACTACATTCTAACTACCGTAATTCCTACAATTATTAATTGACTACCAGTACTTCTATATCCACTACGTTTCTAATATTAACAAATGAAAGTAATACAATCATTTATTTATTTATTCATTCAGTAGTTTAAATAGTTTGATCTACTATATAATAGTTAAGTAGATTGGAAATTGGATTTTCTTTGTTTGGAACAATTTAAGACAGCTCTGGTTACTAATAGCTACCAACACTGTCATGCAAGTTTCAAAACCTTCATTAAGTCTATACTGGAATTATTAAAGAAAATTAAATTTCCAATTATTTAATATACTTAATAAAAATATTTATAAAAACTTACAAAAAGTTAAATTAAAAAAATAAATCAAAATTGCTAAAAATACATAAAAAATATAATAAAAACAATTATAAAAATTATAAAATAATCGGTAACATGATTAGATTTGCTGCAATTTCACATATAAATACGATGCTTCACAAAAATAAAAAAGAAAAAAGTACCAAATTTATTAGCCTACTGGCAAATCATCAGATGAAAGTTCATCATCTTCATCTTCGCTACTTGAGTATGAGGATGATGTCGAGGAACTCTCCCAATTATTATTTTTACTTCCAAATAACTCCTTCATTTTATTGTACCTCTGAAAGAAGAGCTTTTTTGCGAAAGCATACAGCTCAAGATCCAGTTGATTGAGCAGCTCAATCTGCTGCTGCTGATCGTCAGTGATCGGTGACTGTTCCGCATATGTCCGATTAAACTGCTCAAACGGATCAATAAAATTCAGCTTAAATGTTTTCTCAAATATAAACTGGCTCTTCTTTTGGTACTCAGTCAGACCGAAATACGCCATGTGTCTAAGATTCTTTTTGGCACTTCTAAGCATGTTATTGTTACGTTCTTCTTGCGTCATGAACGACATGTTGTAACACCCAATGACGGATAAGTCTGCCAACATTCTCGTCTGTCTATTATTAGCCAAGTTATACTCGCACTTCATAAACTCGTTTAATTCAACGTCCTTCCAATCCTCTCCACTGAAGCAGAGGGGCAGCTCATGAGACAATGGTTGCTTGCCGTCGCACATGTGTTTGGAATTCTTCCACGTTGCACCACGTTGTACATGTCGCCACTCACTCAGATAGCGTGAAACTGGATGCCGCAGCATTGTTATATAATAATACCTGTGGATTTTAAGGTAACATAATTGTGTATTATGTTAAACATCTTCAAATTAAATATCTGGGCTTCATAATAAAAATCTACCAATTATTATGTCATACACATTGTATCAAATGGCAAATAAACATTACACAAAACTACACAAATACAAAAATAAATGAAATAATATAAAAAATAAATGAATATAGTATAAAAATATACAAAAAAAGGATTTGGCCAAGAGGTATACTGTACTGTACTTCCTGCTTTTTGAAATGAAAATCTGGCTAGAGTCAGTTTTATATTAGCTCTGTTCCAGAAATAACACCCACACAAGAGTTGGGTGGGATAGGAGCCAGTGTACAGTACCTCTTACATGGTATGGTGGAATGGTAAGAAATAAATAATAAATATAGAAATAAAACAGGAAAATAATTATTAATTAACTATCACAAAATCAAACCACTTAGTAGTTTTGCTAAAGAAAGTTATAGTCAGAAATTGGAAAAATAAACAAAGTAAACAACTGACCTCCTTTTTTTAACTAATTTTTCTTTTTGATCCATCCATTGAGGAACACAGTTTGTTAATTCCGTCCAATCAGCATGCAGCCCACAAGACCAGCCTGTGGAATACCTACTGAATAACCAGTGACTACGACTGCTTCCAGGACGCAGACAATCACAGCGTTTTTTACCACGGAAACATTGGCATGGTTTTTCCATGTCCATGTTTTTCACCAGATGTTTCCCAAAAGTTGTTCCTCCAGTTTTCTGGATGTGCAGAAACACAAGAACATCATCGCCGTTGATGTCAAAATCAAAATCACGAATTAAAGTCTTCTCACTAAATGGTTTATTCCCTCTGTGACTTTGAGATACATTTCCACCTGTGCGATATATGCTGGAGTAAAATTCATTCCCCCTCACATCTTCTACCAGGGTTGAGCTTGTGCAAACAAAACGTTCGGAGCAAATGATCTCATAGAAAAGATAAAAAGATGTCACAACAACCAAAAATATAAACCCTATGCATTTGTTATTCATCTTTTTGGTATGTTATCCATGTCTTGGATTAAAACAAAGCCAATACAGTTGATTTTCTGTCAGTCAGCAAGCTCAACATTGGAAGACTTGGTCAATCTGTAATTTAAAAAAAAAAAAAGATAAATAGTTTATCAATATCAGAGTTGATGGATCTATTGTACTTTACATGGGTATGAAGGTGTAGGTTTAAAGAAGATATTTTTTTGTAGCGAAAAATAGTGAATGGGTTGATAATTGAATGGGCCTGAGAGGAAAGGAGTCCTGGATGATCTGAAAAATGGCAGGAAAATAAAAAATGCCCAGTATCAATATTATGCATCAGGAAATCAAGGAACATTTTTTCTTCTTCTATTTCAAGTGAAAACCAATATGGTTACAGTACCTACACACACACAATTAGCAGTTAAAATATTCAATTTTACTGTTACACCTCCATGGCACTAAGGCACTATAAAAAAATTATTAGTTAATCAACCTATCCAGTCTGGAAAAGTGATGAGGCCTTTTATTTTTATTATTTTGCTCAGCCAAATATCACTCTTGGGTTGTTTGCTGGTGCATTGATATTCAAAGTAAAACATGATTGAGATAATACAATCAATATCTACTAACTATTTACTAAAAAAAAATGAAAAAAATATTTTTTTTTTCTCCAAAAAATTGGTTTTTTTTTCATACAATAGAAGACATGTGGGTGAGGCTGATGAACTAATTTTTATTATTGCGCCTAATAATATAAATTTAATAATACGGGCAGATCAGTAAATATCGTTAATGTCTTGTGAATGTTTTATCTGTGCGAACAGTCTGCATGGAAAGAATTTCATTAATATCTGCAACTCATGTATCAACAATAAAACACTTAAGTGAATGAACATAGGTAAATAAATATATAAATAATTAATTAAATAAATTAATAAGTAAATAAATCATTTAATGTATATCAAGAAATCATAGAAAATCTCAAAATGTTGAGAAAATGTGGGTCAGGTATGAAAACACTGATCCTTGGTTTCTGTAATTAGGGATGGCCTCAAAATACAGAGGGATGGTCCATAGGGATGGTCTCCTGTATTGTGGTTTCTACAGTATCCATAAATTAAGAAAACAACCTCCCAGGTAGCCCAATTGAGAGCATCCTTGATGATAGAAATAGCTTACATCACACAATTCCAAAGAAATAAACAGCCATTACCTACTGTAGTATCTTTGGTAATTAATAGATTGAACTGCTATCAATAAGATTTCAACATCAGTGGCGGATTCAAATATTTGAAATAGAGGGGGTCCAGTGAGGGACTTTCACAGAAGTGGGTCTACACCACGCCATTATTAAAAGGAAATTTATGATCATGGCACCTCCAAATGCTCAGAAATAGCATTCTTATCTGAAATTTGAATATGATTTTCTTGTTTTCTTTATTTAAAAACTAATTTTGGGACGTCCTGCTCCCCCCAACACTACCCCATCCCCAATCTGCCATTGAACATCTGCACAAAAATAAAAACTATTTAGGTTTCACAACAAGTTTCCACAATTTCAATGGTCTTACACAAAGAATAATAAAATTGTAGGGTATGCACGCATCTGTTTATCGGCAAAAGAAAAAAAAATTGGTTGTTTTGTGCTCATACAAAATATAAACATGAAATATCAAGTTATATTTTTATTCTACTCCCCATTACATTTTTTCACGTTATTAAAATGATAAGTTACTGGATAAAAATTAATATGATGGAAAATTCTAGATTACCAAAAATATGTTATCAAAGGCAAAGATTGTGGGCTCAAAACAGAACCGACTGTTGGGCATTTGGAATAAAATTGATTTCAAATATGTTTGGATTTGGGTATATGTGGGAATTGCCTGTAAATGAGAATTTCTTAGCAATTTTTTCAGAGAGAGTTCAGGACATTGCATGGCAAACAGGGAATGAAATGATAAAAGATAACATAAGATTAAGATTTTATAGCTCACTAAACATACCAAATTCCCTTAACAAACATATTTTTCATTTAAATTTTAAACTAAGAACAACAATTTCAAGATTTCTTTTGTCAAACCATAATTTATTAATAGAAAGAGGTCATCATATGAATATTACTAGAGAAAATAGAATGTTTATTTTGCGATAATTGTGGTATAAAAGACGAAACCCATTTTCTTGTTTGTGTGTCCATTTTATATAGAGGCCTGAAAAAGAAATACATTCCCAACTTAAAATTATTTTCACTCAGTGATATTTTTGTAAATTATAATTTTCATAAAATATGTCTTCTATTAAATATATTTAAAAAGGCATTTAAAAAAAGAGTATTTTGTGTGTTGAATATGGTATAAACATATGAATTGTCAAATGGGACAGAGGCCATTATTTACGAAATAAAGAAATGAAATGAAACTTACTACAAACTATTTTCAAATTGAAGTATTTTCTCAGTACTTTATTATTAAGATATTGGTATTAAAATAAAGTTAAAATTTTCAGCATACCAATAATTTACTAAACATTTGGTACCAGGTCATGAAATTCTTGTTTAAGGTCAAATGCCAAAGTTATCAAAGGGTAACACAAGGTCACATCAACATTATTTTACCATGGATATAGTTCACTTCCTATTTTTTATACTGAAAACTGAGATTCTTTTCTATAATAATTAGTGCTGATCTAATTTATAAAGGTACTCCCAACGAAATTTCAACTGCATTAACATGTTGACTGCCAGACCTTTCTCAAGGTTCTTTCCCATGTGCAAAACAAGTTTACATGTACATACTTTTTTGAAAGTTTATCTAGTCATATATTATCAAAATGATGTGTCTAATAAATTGGCAGGAAAATATTAGGGCATGAGTAAACTCGTCAACGGCACTGTCATAGCACTTTTTATTGACCATGCCAAGTGCGAGTTATCTCGTCCGCTTTTTGCATGGGTTGGTATATGTTCAAAGGGTGTACTACCGAAAACTTAACACAACAAACATACATGTCATTTGTACGTTATCGTCTAGTTGTATCTTCCCCGAACTACCAGCCCTTGAGTCTGTGGTTCTACAATGTTTAACAAAGAAGCTATAAATGCTAAAATGTTACCCCGATTTTGACAAGTATACTTGTCAGCAACACTCTGTGGGCAAGTATACTCGTCGCTGGCAGCCAATATGTTAAAAAAAATTTTAGTTGGTGTTAGTAGTTGCATGGTAATTGAAATAATTTCGCCACTGTACTGAGCAAACAAATAAAAATTTAGCAGGATTACTCTAAATCCCTTCTGTAATCTTATAAATGGGGTTGGAGGTAGGTTTGATTTTAAGGTACTGTACAGTAGATTGCATGCTAACCCACACAGAAACTTTTTTTGTGGAATTTTATGCGATAGTTGTTTCAGAAATGTTTTTTTCTGATTGTTAATATATGAAGATGATTATCAAGTCAACATTTTTTTACTACTGGAGTCTGATTTTTGAAATATACATCTTAACACAATGACTAAGAATAGTAATATTTCAGTTTAATGTACACACTTCTAAGATAGATAATAAATATTGTACAGCAGTATTATATTGCTATAATATTATGGAGGGTATTACATAGTCACACCTACTGCACATATGCTACAGATAAGATTTGTTGATTGTTTAATTAGAAAAAAAGAATAAAAATACTTACAATTTGACATTTTACCTCAGCCACAATTTATTCTTATTTTTTAAGCGATTTCAGCCTCAGTTAAGAAAGTGTAGCATGCAAGCAATAAAGCTCTGTACTACAATATTACGTAAGTGACAAATCTGTAATTTGTCCAAGTCACATTATATGTAAAATGAGCGATTCGCAGGTATTTGTCCATTTCACATTATGCAAATGAGCGAATCGCAGTTATTTGTTACATGTTACTTTATGTACATGAGCGAATCACAAGTATTTGTCACATCAAACCCGATAGATTTTTAAATGTAGAATGGGTGCATTGTGGGAATTCAATGAATTGATATGCTAGGCATACAATGGAGAAATGTATTATGACTACTGAGTGATTGTTCCACACGTACAAGAACTCTACTCTAACCTAATGCCTTGTGTCCAAAAATTAGCATTGTAGAATGACTTCAGTTTGTTATGCATTCACAATTAAGGCAAATATCCCCCAAAGAATAGTAATAAAAAAAAAAAAAGAAACAAATACTGTATTCAAATTCAATTTAATGTTGATTGCTATTAAATAAGCCATTGTGGGCCAAATTACACGAACAATCACAAGTCCTTAATTAATTACTACGTCAAAAAATTTCATCATTGGTCGATAATCCTGTGAATATTTAAGTTTAAAGTCTGTAAGGTGGAGGAGGGTGGTGAAAGAAAACCATATAAATGTAAATTTGATTTTCTTATAATAACTGATGTGTAGGCCATACAGTATCTGAAAGCAGTTATACAGTATATATGACTGGTTGTGATGACACTTAATTAATATTCTCCAATTTCCCCCTGATCAATTGTCTGAATGTGCCAGCTAGGGTATACTACTATTACTACTACTGTAAAAGTAATGTTTTAAAGTGCCATGTTCTATCATATTGAGGGTGCCATGGCCCATCATATTAACGACTCAAAGCAAATAAATGTCCCGATGTGTTTTTAGTACATATTGAATGCTCTAAAAACAGGCCCGCCCATCGGCTCAGTGCCACGCCCACTAGCTTCCATTTTGGTATATATCATTTTTCTGGCTGAACCCCTGATTCCACCTTACAATAATTTATTGTCTTTAAAAAGTAATGGCATGATACTGCAATACATTCACTTCACCTGAGAAAATAATAATTGTAAAAACAACGAACTTGCTACAATTTCTTTGAAGAATCACTTGAGATTACTTGCTCCTATGAAGCCTAAATTTGAGGCCTGAAAAGGAGCCATGTGGTTATATAGTCAACTACTAGGCTTTTATTATCAACTTATTAGATTAAGTTAATTTCCGGTCCAGTTTATAGGCTTGCCTCCTTGAGTTGTATTTAGCAAAGAAATAAAACATTCACAGTATTGTAACATACAGTAACTACAGTAGTATAATTGTTCAGAATTTTCTTCTT